TGGCGTCGAGCATGCAACAGCATTTAGTCCAAGAAGATAGCGTGTTAGAAGATTTGTGGATTGGCGCATTAGGAAGCCTGCACATGGGTTGATGAGTGCACCATATCGATGGTCGATTTATGAAAGCTATTATACTGCACTTGGAAAGACTTGGAAATACTATTCGCAACTGGACGCAACAGCGACACCCTCTCGCCGATAATGTAGAAACATCGTGGCATCTCCATTTTCACCCTTTTCGCGCCAGACTGAAGTCAATCCAATCTGTCGGTACCAGCACCGTGACGACCAAAAGAGAACCGTTGTCTACCGACATCCCCGCGAGCTTCAATAGCGAATTGAAGGCACTTTTGGAGTTGCGGCCTGAGAAAATCCGATGATACTTGAAGTCCTCGTCAACTTGGACGTGAGACGAGGCTAGAAATGTGAACCCATGTGTTGATCATCGAATCTGACTCATATCTGCACCGGCAGTGGGTTCATCCGTGGTTATCGGACAAAAAACACTGGAAATATATCAAGGAACTAGGAATTGGTATTGAAGCATGTACACAATCTGCAACAAACCACGGCTTGCATGGAACTCAAGTGCAGCTGATCCAGCTAATGCGTTCAAATCAAGCAAACATCCACTGCAGTTGAAGGAATCAGCGCGTCTCGTTAGAGCTTTACCCAACGAGTCGGACGACGCCATCGACAATGGTGCTCTGGGAGAAGTGATACAGCAGCCGAAGCTCCCACGCCGTGCCCATACCGTACTGGTCATAAATATCTTTCAGCGTCATAAAGTACTCGAGCTCCTGATCACACAGCAAGTCCTGTCGCATTGCAGCATCGGTGCTCTCTCGCGCTTTGGCCGATTCACTCAGCCCACTGAGCGTGTAGTTCACAACAGGCAGCACAATGTATATGTTGTCGTACTTGTCCAACTTGAGTAGTGCAGCCAGGTGTTTCTTCAAGTGACGAATCTTCAGCTTGGGTGACGTGGTGAACAGCGTGCGCTCCAGCTTGGGTGCGTTGGGCTGCTCTTCTTCATGTAGCAGTACGCGGAAGTTCACACGATCAACCGCTGTATCTGTTGACTTAGAGGCAGCAACTTTCGGCTTTTTGCGCGCTGTTTCATCCTCCGAAGCAGCAGCAGACGACGGTGCGGTGTCATTGGGAGATCCACCTCCAGGCGAGCTGCGCTTTTCTCCAACCGGCGGCGACGATGTGTTCGACGGAGACGACGAAGCTGACGTGGCTCCTTCCGTCTTCTTTCTTCCATTGCGCCGCGTCGCTGCCTGACTGAGCACACCCTTGCGTGTGCTCTCCGTGTAGGCATTGTGGAAGTGTCTGGTCCGGTTTAGCTGCTCGATTATTTGGTCCTCGTTGCGTTCGAATTCAGCCAAATTGGGGTGAATCTTGCGGATGAGGGCATCGAAGTTGGCATCAGGGCGCAGTGAACGCTTGGATGGGATGTGGATACGGCACGATGGACATTCACGCTTGCTCTGGCGGATGGCGGTGGAGATGCACTCGCCGCAGAAGCGGTGTAGACATTCCATGACAACCATCGTCTCCTTGATGATACCTAGACAGATAGGGCATGTGAGGTCGGCGTTTAGCTGCCGTATAGACAGCGTCTTGGTCGCGTTCGGGTCCGTAACAGGAGCGCGCGGCTGGCGGTAGATGTCGAAAAGTGTGCAGTCGTCCACCAGCTCGATCTCCTCGTATTTCGACCGCTTGCTGATCTGGCAGTTGGGTGTCCTCGCCACTAGATTGTCATAGTCCTCCCGCGTGAAGGTGTACGGTTTTTGCGGCGGACTCGGCTCCATAGCTTTCTCCAAGTTGACAACGGCTTTGATTGACTTGGTCAAATCGCTTCAAGTCAACGTCATTTTTCAAAATAAGGTGTTCAAAAACCAAAAAGATGTAAAATTCACAATTCAGACGCGGAATCACCGGTTGCGAGTCTACTTCGGCCAGACCTTCTCATGTGCGTGTTGCTATGATGCTCCCTCTCCAATCTTCACCAATTACATGTATCTCTACTTCCATCTAACCCCGTTTGAATTTCCTACAGTGATTATACGAGTCTCCCTGATGTGAATAACGACCAGGATGGACCAGGGAGTTCGAGCGTCTGCGTCTATGTGGAGACGCAATCGACGTGGAGCAAACTCATGTCCAAAGTGCATGAGAATAAGCATTTACCGAGGAATCCTAATACACAGAGGTGAATGGAAATAATTTACCTAAGTACATCAGTTCTCTCGTCAATAGTCACCACATTATGCAGTCAGAGGTGACAGATCAAACTCGACATGCAAATGGAAGGGTCATATATGCAAACACTACATGCAGAAGGCAAATGACCTTAATTTTCAGCGTCGTCCTCCTGCTTCCCTTCCTCATCGCGGTGCAGCTCTGCGTTTGAAACGCGTTCGTCCTCTTCATCGCGTAGTAGCTCTGTGTTCACAGCACGCTCGGTTTCCAGTTGCTTTTTGAGGGCTGCGACTCTCTTCTTCTCTCTCGCTTTAAGCGCCTCATACTGCGCCATTAGATGCTGAAACTCCTTGGTTAGGAATACTTTCTCCTCCTCCGTGTCCTTCTTCGCTTGATCTGCTTGTAGTGCCTTCGTTTTCCAGCTTTCAGCTTCAGCACGTGCCGCTTTTCGGGCAGCAACTTCCACTGCACACTGCTCCTCCAACTTCTTGACGGTGGCTTGCAAAGATTGCACCTCTTGAGTGGCCTCCTTGGCGTCGCTCTCCTTCGTCTTGACGTTGCCTATGTCCTTTGCGTCCAGATCAAGCATCTTCAACTGGTTCTGAAGCTGCCGCAACTTCCTCTTGCTGCGGCCTCGCGAGCAGATGCTCTGGAGCTTCTGCCTCTTGACGCTGAAGCCTGGGAAGCGGGTTTGCATCTCACTCTCAATGCTGGCCCACTTCCCGCCGTAGTGTGCGGGTCCCTCTCTCCAAGCCGGGAACGCTTCGTCTAGCTTAAGGAGAAGCTTATGCTCCTCCACCGCCAAGAGATGCGACAGAGTTCCATATCTAATGTCCTCTCCTCCAGCTTTGGTTTCTTTTGGGCTGGTCCTTCCTCGAATGGCTGCTCAACATCACCCGTGATATGCTCGTGGTTGTCAGTCTGTTCCATGGCACCAAACTGGAGAATTTGCAATGACGACGAGCTACATCTTAACGGTGATATCCTCTTCCCAGAGAGTGAAGGTCAACTTCAACTTGGTATCACTCTCCTTATCTCCTCACTTTAGTGCCCTACCGATCACATTAGACACGTGTATCACAGTAATGGCAACCAGTGCCGCTATCCGACGCCAGAAGCAGCGGCTGGACGTGCCCCTCGTTGGCCTCTTCCTCTTCTCTGTGTACCTCAAGCTGCTGCTGCTACCGTCCTACACCAGCACCGACTTTGAAGTGCATCGCAATTGGCTTAGCCTCACACACGAGCTACCGCGTCACCTCTGGTACCATGAAAGCACTAGCGAGTGGACACTGGACTACCCGCCCTTCTTCGCCTTCTTCGAGTACGCACTGAGCTTCGTGGCGGTCGCAGTGGACAGTTCCATACTGCAAATAAGCGCTACACCCGTGTTCTCGCCCTCCATTTTGCTCTTCCAACGGATCAGCGTCATCGTGTCTGACGTTGTGCTGTTCTACGCTCTACACACCTACTGCTCGTCCTGGCCTACCGTCACCACGACAGAGTGGGCGTTCTCTAAGGCCAAACGACTGGCAATTATGCTCATCACAGTACTGGACGCGGGGCTTCTCTACGTAGACCATATCCACTTCCAATACAACGGGATGCTACTCGGACTTCTCATCCTGTCGGCCACCAAGTTCAGACTGCAGCAGGACCTGCAAGGAGCTTTCTTGTACGCTGTTCTGCTCATGTTCAAGCACATTTACTTGTACGCAGCGCCGCTGTACTTCATCTATCTCCTTGGACACTATTGCTACGTCAAGAAACCGGAGTCCGAGTCGTCCGATAGTGATGAAGATGCCAAGGGGAAGCTGATTAGGAAGAGGTCGATCTCCAGTACAGATGTCCATGAGACGATTCAGGATTTCCATGACGGTAACGTCGTCTTTTCCTTCGTCAACTTCGTGAAGCTTGGAGTGATGGTACTAGCGGTGTTCACCTTCGCGTTCGGGAGTATCCTGTGGAACCACGAGGACCCGATCGCCGGGATGAAGCAAATCGTGTCACGACTGTTTCCAGTGCAGAGAGGTCTCTGTCACGCGTACTGGGCGCCGAACGTCTGGGCGCTGTATGCGTTCCTCGATAAGGCGTTGGTGATCCTCGGGTTCCCAGCTTCTACTGAAGGTGTCGCACTGATGAGTGGTGGACTCGTGCAGGAGGCGACTTTCGCTGTACTGCCCACAGTTTCTCCGCTAGTGTGTGTTGTGCTGACGTTCGCTATGATGACTCCAGTACTGCGAAGTATATGGAAGTACCCGGACTCGTCGTTGTTCACCAGTGCGCTTGCTTACTGCATGCTGTGCTCGTTCCTGCTGGGCTATCATGTGCACGAGAAGGCTATTCTTCAAGTGACACTGCCGTTGGCTCTCATGGCTGCCGATAGTGTGGCCAGTATGCGTTTGTACAGATTTGCGTCTGGTGTTGCGACGATCTCGCTCTTCCCGCTGTTATTCACGCCTGCTGAGCAGGGATCCAAGGTGCTGCTGGGTGCGTGTCATGCTCTATTGGCTGAGGTCGTTCTCATCCCACTGCTCAAGCATTCGTTAAAGGAACGACACATTAAGGTCACCGCTGTACGCATGTCTATCTTCGAGCGGGTTTACTTAGCAGGACTAGCAGGCCTCGCTTTGTTAGCTGCGGTGTTCCCTTACATCCCTCGGATCGGCACTCGATATCCATTCCTGCCTCTTATGTTGATCTCCGTGGGCTGTGGTATTGGAAACCTTTACGTATGGGGCTTCACAGTCACTCAGCATTTCCGTAAACTCGACGCTGTCAAGTACTACCTCGACGCACAAAGACCAAAGTAAGTGGCTTGATGCGATCTTTAGACACTTCAAAGAGATAGATGAGTGTTGTTTTCTTTATTCTTTTGTTGTTGTTTTTTTCTTCTGCACTACATGCATGGGTAAGGTGTTCGTAGTCTTACCACTCTCTACGACAGCTTGCCCAGTTGCTGCTTCTTCTTGATGGAGTTCATGGTGTGGAAAACCCCCGAGTCTACGAGGCCCAGAATGGTGAATACACCGCCAATCACTGCACACAGGTGGGTGATGAAGTGATAGAACGGAATGTTGTCCGTCGTGATCTGCACTACCAACGGCGAGATGTCGAACGTGAAGAGCGCAGACGGCGTCTTGTCCTCGTACTGTGTGGTAGTAGCTGAGAACTCATAAGATCGCTGCTGTAAGTGCGTCTTCCGTGAGTTATCCTGGTTGTCAAAGCCCACAACCTGCATCGGCCACAGCAGAGTCAGTATCACACATTATCCCTCTCAAACCTGCACTACACGTACGTTCAAGAAGTGCTGCACAGTGACGTTTTCGCTCTCGATAGTGTACATCTTCGAATCCAGCGGGAATCGGTTGGACGGCGCTGCGAGCATGTGGCTGCCTCCTTTGAACAAATTCTCGGTGCGTCGGACTTGACCGAAGGAGAAGTGGTTCACGACATGGGAGACATCGATGGCTTGTGCATTAAACGACACGTCGTCGGAGCGCGCGGTGAACACAAGTCCGCCAGGGACACGGTTGACACTGATACTTCCCGATATCTCGCATCCCTCCACTGCACCAGTCTGTATCGTGCTGGACGGACGGCGCTTCTTAAAGTCAATGCCCTCCAAGTTCTCCTGGCTCACTCGAACCGGCAGTGGGAGGCCAAGACGGTCGTTGTTCACGTTCACTTCTTCAGCAAAATCGGCATCAGGCTCCAGACGACGGAAAAATAGGTCCAGGAACTGTAATAGGTGCTCGGTCTTGCGCGGTCCGTTGTAGATATAACGCGTGGATGTGCTTCCGTACATGTAGATTAGCATAGAAGGGAAAGCACGGATATGTGCGCGACGACAGAGCCACACAGCTTCCGGGTCTGTGCAGTCCACTGAGGCCATACGCACCATCTCACTGTACTCTGGGTGGTCGGGCAATTGGGCTGCCGCGCGCTCCCATTCAGGGTGGAGTTGGTGGCAGAATGGACACCAGGGAGCGTAGAAATTCACAAGTACGAGTTCGTATTTGGCCATGAAATCGTCGAAGTTCTTGGTGGTCAAAGGTGTGGAGTAGTGGACGTTGGCGCCCTTGGTGTCTCGGTGGACACCTCCCCATACCGGGATACCCTTCTCGTGGTTGTCGATCACCACCTCATCCAGACGCTCCACTTGATTGGAAGAGCGGTCAGCAGCGAGGCGGAAGTGGCGAATGTGGCGCGTGAGGTTGGTGAAGCGCTGGCCCATGTGGTCCTCGAGATCAACGCTCGCGACGGAACAAGGTACATTGAGCAGACTTACGTTGAAGTTAACACGCAGTCGATCCTCCTGGTGCTCGTCCATTACGACGGTAGTCTTGGTACTCTGATAGCGATAAGCTTCCCAGTGGGTGATCAGTAATAGTCCCATGATGGCGAAGGACAGCAGTGAGAAGAAGCTGCCCGAGTACGTGTGCACCTTCAGGTCTTCGGGCACATGTCTTGAGAGAACCAGAGAGAATTACAAGATGAAAGTTAGATGAGGATACTTGCAAGACAAGGGAGATTTGGTGCATGAAGTGTGAAGCGCTGCAGGCGAGTAGAAGGGGAGACAACACGCACCGGAAGAAGTCGAACTTCGCCATTTTTGGCGCCGAGATGCCACGTCGACGATTGCGAATTGTTGTGGATAGAGTTGGGATTTTAGCCAATGATAAAGTAAAACGATACCGATTGGTGAGAATTGTCTAACTCTGATTAGTGGACCGCCTTCTATTTGTGTTGCTGAAAGAGCATTGACAGGTGATACCATTTCGTCCTGGATCAGTAGTGCGGCTTCCAGGAAAGCAAATGACGCTCTTCACGTTTGCAAACACTCGTTCTGGCCGGGTACTAATGCTAAAGTTGATTAAAATAGAAGTGTATTTAATCCCGTCCTCGAAAACCAGGCTATGAACGATTGAAACATGACTCACGGTCTTAGGTTTGCTAAGTTAGTCATGCTTCCTCTTACGGAGATGCTTGCATTCGCCCTTGTGCTTCTTCTTCAGAGATGGATCTAAGCACCAACCGACCTTGAATAGACACTTGTTGGCGTAGGTGACTCCATCGGAGCCGCAGATCGGGATATACTCGCGAGTGCATCTAGTCGGGCACAAGTCCTCGGGATCAATCTGCTTCTCTTCAAGCATGGCAGACGCCCCAGAGAGCTGGAGCAGTGCAGCAAGCGCGAACATCGCCAGTGTCTTCACGTTCATCGTCTTAAGTCCCTTGTTTCTTGCAGGGAGAGTGCGGCTTGTGTTGTTCGAAGCGAAATGTCAACTGAACCAGGTGCGTCCAATCCTGTCAACATCATGTGATGGGGTTGATTGTCACCAAACAGACAAGTCAAAAGCAATCCATTCAGATGTACGGTCCGGCCGAACCAGCCATTGAGACGGAACTATTAAAATAGTTCCGTCCGTATTGCAAGCATGCATTTGTTCGTCGTTCGGAAAGAAATGTACCTTTTCAATAACATCAGTACACGCACAGAGGAAACAGTTGACGAACGCGTAAACTATTACGCAGGATCTATAATACGGTGTACAAACGTAGATAATCTGTACGTCAACGTAATTGTCATCGCGCATTGCATTTCCTGCACTCTGTTTTTCTCTACGAACAATTTGGTGATAATCGTGATCGTGAACCTGCTCCATTCAAGCGGGGCCTGGGCGAGAATTAGTGCTACCCAAGATGAAAAATGCCCAGTTCTGTGCTCTCGCGAGTTGATACGCGTTTGTGGGTCCAACGGCGTCACCTACGATAACGAATGCCTGCTGGAAGTTGCTCAGTGCAAGAACCGGAGAGTCAAGCTGAGGCACAAGGGCCGATGTCACAAGTGAAAAAGGTAAGTTGGTCAAAGACTACTTATACGTTGCGCTTTCTGACTAGTGGACCTTTGTTCGACAGCTCGTCACGTTAAAATCCGTAGCTAGGAGCTGATTCATTGTGCAATTATGGTAATGTAAGGATAAAAAATAGTAGTAAAGGAGAAGCATCGAAATGAATAACGTAACACTTAAAAGAAAACCCAAAAATACTAGTATGTTGATAAATTCCACGTGATAGACTACTGGTTTGTTTCTGCGTTGCCATTGCTGATGGCTTCTACGACTGAAAATATGAAAGCCACACGCCCAGTGAAAACTTTACAAAACTGAGTGTATTGATGCTCACGTCGGCCTCATGTCTACTGTCCTTTTGGCATACTTCTGGGTCCGCTCATTGATACTTAGTACACTTCCCATCATGATTCTTCGCGATCGTCGAGTTCTCGCAATGCGCAAACTCCAGTAGGCAGTCGTTGCCATACGTGACGCCGTCCGTGCCGCACACGGGCGTCCAGTCGCGCTCGCAGTTGTCGTCGCACTCTTCTACGTTCCTCTCCTTGGTCACCGTCATGTGCAACATCGCCTCGTCCGCCTCCGCGCGTGCCCAAACGCCCGTGAGCGCAAGCGCCACCATTGCTGATATCACCGCCTTGTTCATGCTGCTGAACTGAACTGACTTTCGATTGCAAAAACAAACAACAAAATTATTGTATCAAAAGTTAAAATTTAGTCAATAATTGTTAGAACACAAACAGTACTTTTCGGTATTCCACAACTCTAAAACTACTGCAAGTTGAACATTCTTTTATCTGGAAATGCGAGCAACCAACGCGCCCACTACTTCAATGAGCTGATCTGGCGCAATAGCATAGACCTCGTCGGCTTTTCCAGCGCCACAGAGGAGATATTCTTCTGCCTGAAGGTAATTATCCAAGATAATCTGTGTAGCCTGCTGTTCTCGCAAACCAATAGGCCCCAAACATCCTCGTGAATAACCAAACACTCTCACGAGAGCCTGAAAAGAAAACACACACACAAAACAAGTATGAAGCACGTGAGCGGTGACAATAAATAAACCAACATGGCCCAAAATACGACGCACCACTTGATCAGCTAATGAAATGTCCTCTGAGTCTGCTTCCAGTAGAGCACCTAAGGCATGCATATCGATGGATCGATCCAGCGCCAACACAGCTACCACATACTCAACTCGTCTTGGCGCATTTACTTGCTTCTCTCTCCGAACAAGCAATGCAATACTCTTGACAATTAATCCCTCCTGTTCGTTCTTGTCATACTTCAGGAATCGAGCCTCCAATCCGTAGGCTTGCAATGCAGCTTTGACGTGCTGCTTTCCAAGCGGTTGTAACGCAGAAGTCAGAGTCCACGCATGTGAAAAGCTCCGGCTGGCATCGAAGCGCTTCATAAATTCTCGGACGCGTTCATTTACGGAATAATGTTCATCTTTCACAAAATGTACATCCGCAAGCAGATGCAGGGACAGGCGTTGAACGACGTACGCATCTTTTGCTGCGTATTTCAGCTGGCTGGTGGTCAGAGGGCGGTTACCCCAGTCCGAGCATTGCTGCTCCTTGTCCACCTTTTCTCCCAAACACTCACGATACAATCGCGACAATCCCCAGTGTTTAGCTGGAACGTGTCGAAACAAGGCGAGCTGTTTCAGCTCTAATAGCAGAGGAGTAGCCCGTTCCTTGTTGCTTTGAAGTTCTTCTAGTTCCGGGAATGAATTCTTAATTCTTTGAATGTCGCTGGATACACAAAAACCGATCAGCATGAGCGGAGATAAGGGCCTCCAGATAAAGCGTAGCGGAGCAGCGGCTACTACTCCAAGAACTTGAACATCAACCACGTAAACGATATCTCCAACAGCGAGTTGGTAAATGCTTAAACCTTCCAGGTCTTCGTTGCTTAAATCATCAGGATCTGCGATTTCAGTGCCATTTGAAGTCGAAGTTTGCTCTTTCATCAGAAATTGTGGTCTCCATTCACAGTCAATCCCCACAAGCATGTTCCGAACAACTGAGTTCTCATCTTCCGCATTAAGGACGTTCAGCTCTTGTTTCTTCAGGCGTCGAACAACTTCTTCTATTTCTTCAAGACAATCAACGTATTTCCACTTGAGTTCAAACTTCTCAACCTTATTCAACGATAGGTTCTTGGCATGGTTAATCGGTTGACCAAGCAGGTAAGAGGGGATAGTATCGTTTGCCATGAGATCAGCGCTTTGCTGTGTCAAAATAGAGTCATTGGCACTCTGTAATCCAACAGCAACCTTTTGCAATCGCTTTAAAGCTTTTGTCATGTTTAATAGTGACAGATGCTTGAAGAGCGTTTGAATCATGCCATGATCCTGCACCACAGTGGCAAGTCGCTCTGCGTTTTGCCAGTCGTGCTGTTTAACTAATTCGGCAAAAATATTTTGAATTCTGTGTCCATCCGCTGTTGTTTTGCCAATACGAAACACACGAATTACTTCAACCACAACAGAATTCCATCGAGAATTGCGAGCAGCAAGCAGTTTGTCGAGGAAACTAAACTGACTGCTCTTTTCTGGTCCTCCCCACTTCATCTCATCAGCGCTATTCAGAGTCAGATCGATAGCTCGTAGAACGAGATTGAGGAACTCCCACCGTTCAGAACCACGAGCAACTTCAGTAAGAAGTGTAACCCAATCCAAGCATTCTTGTGAAGAAGATTCGGTTGGTATATCCGACTCAAACTCACGATTCAATCCATCATAAACGTCCAATAGCAGATACCCCACTCGACTGGTATGCTTCGATTCATCGTCTCGATTGACACCAAAAATGAGAAACGCTAAGCATGAACGAATGTATGAGGATTCTTCGCCCACACCAGTACAATTCAGTCTTCTCCAAAGTAAAAGTTCCCTAGTCGATCTCTTCAAATCTGCATGGGTAAACAGAACGTCACCAGCGCTCAATACCGACACCAGCTCCTGACAGAGATTGCGTGGGTTAGTACTAGCAGGATCAGTAAAGTGATGCCTTTTCTCCTCCCCTGCGGCGGCCTCATTCACGTCTGGCTTAATAAAGCCTTCGTCAGCACAATCAAAACGACGTGATCCATACTCGCGCTCCCCAGTTCCAGCTGCGTCATTTCGTAGAGTACGTCGGAATCGCACAGGTTCATGGCACAGAGGCGATGGATCCCAGCACTTGGGATCAAGAATGAACCCTCGAGAGATCTCGTACCAGTGCTGGTTACCATCTTTAACATTTTTCGGGTAACGAACAATTTCAGCCACCAGCAACGGCATCGCTACCCCACCACTTTTGTTCGTCTCAGTCGATGCTGTAACTTTTTGAAAATGTTCCCGTACAAATATTATCAATTCGTCAAGTGTCAGTGCTTCCACTTCCGGGATATCCAGTCTGTTATTACTCTCAACAATAACCTGACCAGAAGTTTTGTCCTCCAGAGCAACTACAGGACACAACCAGTGTAGTTTAGGTAAGATCACAAATCGACTTTCACCTATCGTTGCTTGGTTCGCTCGTACTTTTGCAGGCAAATCCGTCTCCATGTCGGTTGTCCACCAACCTCGCAAGTGATCAGTTGCGATGTTAGGATTCAAACAAGTCTTCAATTCGGTTGTAACTTTGGCAGGATTCCGATGGAAATACCAGTCGTGAGCAATAGAAGTCTCCAAGGTTGAAACAAAATGAGTCAGCGGTTCGAACAGATACCCACGTAGCACGATGTGTGACTGCACATTGGTGCTGTAAGTCTCCTCCAACCACGTGCGTACACTTTCACCTCGACGCATGGCCAACTTCCGATCCACTTCTTGAGCTCGCCACGCCAAGTTTTCTCCAAGATGCGGTCCAACATACTGCTCCAATGGAACATTTCCGATATCTCCGTTTACATGTTTTCCAGTGCAGTTCTCGCCAGTATTGCTGTCAATAGGATTGAGCAAGAAGAATTTGACTGATGACTCGACATGGAAGTCTCGTTGCTTTCCATTCTGAAAATTGCAGCGAAAAAGAAACTTCAATTGTCCCACTGTTCTGTTCGTGGACGACACAACTTGTTTACCAATTGCCATCTTCTCCGTTCCAAAGTGAGGGCAGAAGCGCAGCCAGAACTCGAGTAATGTCGAGAAGTAGACGCCCAGCGCTAACGATCGACCGTTCGACGTTGTTTCTGCATACAGCGTATTTGCGTCAATTAGTGCAAACAATCACCTCAATCCACATATAAAAATGTTGTCGTTTACCTTGCAGGAACGTCAGCAACGGCGTTGGGTCTTGTACGAGGGCGTTCAGCCAGTCGGTGACCACATCGAATTTCAAAGCTTCGACGCCAAATTCCGCCGGTAAAACAGGAAATCGATCGTCGCTGAGCAAATGTGGACTGGTGACGGTCCACAACAAGTCACGCACCACCTTGGGCATGCTCAAGACGCTTGGCAGACGGGAACACACATCGCCCGAGGAGGACATTTGCTTGGTCTCCGACAAGCGAAAACCGTTATAACCATTTACTTTCAGTACATTTAATGTACATGGTTATTTATAACGGTTTACGATTGGTCAAAATACTATCATGTAAAGAATAACCTGCAAAAATTACTTCAATA